TAGAGGTTCCATTTGGTCAATTGTCCTAGGGAATTGAAACTTTAATGGACCAAAATTATAAACTATATAAAATAAATTGCATCAAAAAAATATAAACCAAAATTTACCTCATTTTCATCAAGAGCAGCCCTTTCAAGCTGTTTTTCAATCTCTATTAAAAAACTGAATTAAATGCTAAATAATTCTTGTTTTTTGCAGTTTGTAAAGTGTTCTTATTACACCAAAGAATGCTTCTATAGTAAGATACAACCTTAAAACAACCATAAATAAAAAATTTACAACTCATTATATGTTCCTATTTCAAATCACATGCTTGAAAAATGTTCTTAAGGATGAATGTTTCTAGAGACACATGTAGTGTCTTAGAATTGATAATTCCATATAATAAGAACATAAATGCAATCAGGAACAAATTTCTTTTAAAAACAGAACATAAAGAAAGATTTTGTAGAGCTCATAGCCTCTTGTTATATTCTCTCTCAAGCATTTCTACAAATAGTTTATATGCAATTTCCTTGTTTCGCAGTTTGTCTTTTTCTTTACACCGTTTTCATAGAAGTTGGGGCTTTGAAGGAGAATATGGTCTGACGCTAAAGTTTAATAGAGATATTTCAATGTTGCAAATAAGTAAACCAATATGATCAAATTTTCCATCCATCCCCATATATATGATATGGTCTTTATAATGAAACCAGATGGCATCGTTTGATTGAGAGAAAGAGATAGGGGAATTTCATACTTACCTTTCGTGTTCACAACCACAGAGAAGGTGAGAGAAGATAAAGGGGGAAGGGAGCCAATATCTAGATATGAAGATGCTACATAAGATCAAATAATCAACCTTCTCTTAAAATTCAACTTTAAGAAAGCATTTCTTCCCAAAACCTAATAATTTGAAAGCATGAATTGTGATCATAACCTTGGAAACATAAAAATTTCAACTTGGGAATCAACGGAACAAAAATAAATGGTATTTAAAAAGAAAATAGAACAAATGATTAAAGAACAAAATGAAAGAATTATATCAATATGGGCATTCTTCAGGGCAACTCTTTTGGAAGAACAATATGAAAAAGCATTCCAGATGGTTCCATTTTGGCAATACAGTCCTTTAAGTTTCCGGTTGCAACATAACATCATTATTTGCTTATTTAATTGCAGAAATTAATGAAAGACATTACCTTTTCATTGATAATGATATCATCAAGATCGTTATTTTGTTTATTTAATTGTGGTGGTGGCGATTAGGGCTTTTTTATAGACAGAGATGGATGGCGATGTCTTTGGCTCAAAATATTTTATGGTCATGGAACAGGGGAGCTCTAAGAGCTCCAAGCTAGGGGTTTTAATGGAGATTATAGTGAGATAGATAGATAGATAGAGAGAGAGAGAGAGAGAGAGAGAGAGAGAGAGATGAAGATGTGTCTTCAATAAATACAGAGAATCAAAAAGTGCGTGAACCCAAAATCAAAGCAAAACTAAAGAAATATATATAAACTAAAACATAAATCGATTTAGGGCTCTACCCTGGTACTACCTGACAGGGGAGTGATGTTGCTGTTTCAACCACCACCACTTCCATAAACATTCTATTGATATCAACCAGCAAACCTACATGGAATCAAAGATGCACACATAAGAGAGGCATATATATATATATATATACATATATATATATAGAGAGAGAGAGAGATCACATCGAAATTGGAGAAAGTAAACACATAAATATGTAGTCTGTAATGGGAGATGACTTTGGCTTAGTGTAGCGACGAGTCTCTTAAATTTATAGTGTATTCCTGAAGAAGAGGTATTTTCTAAAAAATCGGAATGAGAAGTTGCCTTTTTGTTGAAGTTGTTGGGTAGGATAAGGAACAGGACCATGTCAAAATATGTAATTTGTAAGAGGACCAGGTCAAACGCCATCAACATTTAAGGTTTAAAATACACGTTAACCGGATAAATATGCAATGCATGACTTAGTTGTATATGATGTTTTAAGGATTGTACCTCTTAAAATTCAACAAAATCTTGTAAATGCTTTTTAAGGTATATATATAATATTCATTCTTGCAAATCAAACCTTTCAGATTTGTTTCTTTCATGCTTTCTAATCTCTTACATTTATCATATATAAATATTGGTTAATACATGCAAGAATATCGTTTCTATAAATAAGACAACAAAAATGTTTTAATCAACCCGTGTAATATATGGGTCTCACACATAATGTGTTTTTTAATTATTTCGAAGCACTACTTGGATGATCCATCGTTGGCACCAAATGTCATTTTGGGCATTTTATGACAACCCATCAAAACTTTGTATGTTTGAACGCTTTCTCTTTATTTTCCACACGAGTGTATATTGAGTGTTGCATTCAAAATGTTTTCATCAATTTGAACACATCAACAGATTGTGTAAGTTGTTATACATGAAAGTGAATCTCATAGTTGTTATGTCTCGAAATGTCATGGTTATATGGTTTTTAAATGGTATTCTTCACGCTCCATTTTGTTGTGGAAACACTTTCAACGATTGCACACTACCGACTACCACATCCTTTGATATGTCGACCCATGAACAATTTTCTTTGAACGTTTTCCATGGTTTTGTGAACAAATTTCTTGGTTTTTATTTTCCGTTAGGATGCTTTGGGTTGGGGAACGAGCGTGAACTTGGATTGGGAAATAGGAAATAGTTTTTATGCTCACTGGATTTGATAAAACGAATGCATCACCAGATAATGAAATTATGTGGGTAAAAGCATAGAGCTCTAGTTACATGCAATATGATGGTGGTGAAGACTTAAAACAAAAATATTTATAGTAGGTGTGTTGAAAATAGTATCTCACGATTGGTTTCAATTGGACGTTGCGGTAGTTTTGCTTTGAGAATCACTTGAAGCGACTAAAGGTGGAGAAAGGGTTGAAATAAATACAAAGTTGAAGATATAATGATTTGAGATGTTGTAAAATGGTTAGAGTTTTATTGGTAATTTATAAGAGATAAAAATAAATAAATAGATATCCATTGTTTTAAAACAGTTAGACTTTTGAGAAGTTGGGGGGGGGGGGGGGGGGTTATGTTAGGTTTTATACACATTAAAAACACTATAAACTAGGTAACGAAAAAATCGAAACCACGATATACCTAAGTGTGCATGCAAGCTATGGATATATGGTTTCATACTAATTACATCTACCCTAGAAAACTGAAATACAAAGGAAGAATCGCATACCTCTTTTGCATCCAAAGATCTTAGTGTTTGACTCCTCGTGCGTGCCACCTTGTTTGGATGATGAGGATCCAAACTAGAATCCCTATCGTGGTTCACACACAATGAACACAAAAGAATAAAGTAAAAAAAATAACTAGGAGGGGATGAACTATAACGAGAGTTCTTTCACAAGAAGGAGAAAGAAGTGGCAAAAAAATCAAGCCAAAGAATGAGCAAGGAAGAATGAATCCCTAAGACCCTATTTATAGTCATGGATACCTTCTAGGGTTTTATACTCAAGCCCATGTGGGATGGATAACCCTATGAACGAAATTCCCCTTATCCAAATGGAATTTTCGTTCACCACCCTTCTTCCTAGGGTTCTGGAATATTCTTGATTAACCAATTATTGATTAATTGATATTTAACCCTTTTATTAATTAAACTGTTAATTAATTCCTAAGTTGTTTTTCCATTTAGTTTCTAATTAATTATTAAACTATAATAAGTAATAAACTAATTCCTTATTTATTTATTCCACTTAATTTGAGTCTTGAAGGCAACCCTCGAGGACCTTGTTGTTATTAGATATATTATCAATAGTTAATGACATTGTACACACTTTCCAATAGTCTCTCACTTAGACAAGTCATTAAATATATGTGACCCAATACTTCTCTAATAATCAACACAGAGAGTGTCATCCAATGCATCTGTTGAACTCTGATCTAATCAGTTTTAGCCCTCAGATAAGTAATCGACTATTCTTTCATCCTCATGATATTTGTATGAATTCAAGACATAGATAATGGTCGATCTTAGAATTCAAGATTATGTTTCCCGATAAATACTTGTCGTGACTGAATTTGACTACTAATTTGAACACATCAATTTCAGTCAAGACCCAACCAAGTATTCATGATGTCAACACCAAATCATTGTGGGGCCTATAGGTATCATTCCTCCTGTTAAGGCGGAAGGGACGAATAAACTTTAACTACATGGTTTCTATCTATTTTATCGTGTAATACATGGATATACCCATCATTGCTACCAGTTACGGATAGTGTTAGAGTACTCCAATATATAACAGAATCATAGAGCAAAACCCCACATGTATCTCGGTTTGAAGAACAGAATATATTATCATCCTAGAATTACTCATGAATATATCCATGAAGTTATCTCTAAGCGAGGGTTGTTCCAATACTTAATTATTCATTGAGTACTCATAAGTGTTGGCGCAATCGATATGTTATGCCCAATCAGTATGGTCGATCCACTAATACTCATGATAGTCTTGAATCACTACTTACTTCCAAGAGAATGACCGAGTGTGAATGTCACTACTAGAAAAACAGCCTTTTACGACGCTCATTGCGTGTCGTAAAGGGCTCAGACGATGCACAAATGCGCGTCAAGGAAGGCCCTATCATAAAGAAAGACGATGCGCATTTACGACGCTCATTTACGACTTGCAATTACGACGCGCGTTTACGACACGCAATGCGTATCAAGAAAGGCCATGTCATAAAGGAAGACGACACGCATTTGCATGTCGTAACCTTACGATGCGCGTGTTAATGACACGTAATGCGTATCAAGAAAGCCCCTGTCAAGAAAGGCCATGTCATAAATAAAGATGACACACATTTTTGCGTATCATAATTTTAAATGTTTAAAAAAATACTATTTTTAGATTTACTAATTTTCAAATTAAATTTGTATTCAATGTCTCATAATAGAAAATAAAATATCATATACAAAAAATACAATCCATTGCATAAAATTTAATGTCTTACAAATAATCATATACAAAAAATACAATCCATTGCATAAAATACAATCCCTAACTATCTAACCTATTATTACATTGCTATTAAGAGACACCTTGTTTAATTTTTAATCCAACCTGTCTTCTGGTCTCCCAAGAGCAAATCATTAATATCACCCCTCAGTCTTACACCATCAGGTAAAGTCTGTAGAAATAGAGGAAATGAGCTCCTAAATGATTAAGTACGTACAACAGTATTTAAGGGTAAAGTTGGCATTATACCTTCCTTGATCCTCCAAACAGGAGACAAGCCACAACTTTTTTTACATAGTCACTGCCAAATATGGAAGGGGCAATCTTGGAACATATGGTTTCATATACATTGCCTTCTACTGCAAATCTCTTGAATTCTTCAACAACTTTAACTGATCTCTCATATCCCAAAACCCACCTCTTTTGGTGCCCGTAACAATTTTTTATAAAGAAGGGACAAAGTGGGCAAACTGTTGTACCTCAAAAGTTTGATGTTCCTTCCTCTGCCTGCATTACAGACCTAAAAATAGCATGCACATCACTAGTTAGATGTTTTAAGAATGTATTGTGTATGCATAACCTAGACCTAGTTCTTGCTCTTGCAATGTATAGATGCAAGCGATGACCAAATAAGGTATGATGTTATACAAGATCATGCTTTGCCATCATGATTGAGTGATGATGATAATTTATAAAACAGAAGAGGAAAAATTCACGCTGGTGGAACTTGTATCCAATCCTCAGGTGATAGCCCTATGGCTGTAATGTTTATGGGCCAAGCATTTTGCATGAGTACATTGACTAATATGAAAGGGATTAATTTTACTTACACTAATAGCACAACGTAAAACAATCTCTGAAATCTTGTGAATAATTGGTGTCAACTGTCTAATCAGCTTCTCCTTATGTCCAGGCTGTAAGTACCAGTTGATTTCTCTCTCCTTTTCAGGGCCTAATAGTGTTGCAACTGCCAGTTGGCTAAAAGCACTCAACATTGACCTTTTTTAATTTAATGTCTATTCATGGTATTATTATTTATATACATAAAAAAGATGAATCACACCTTGATTTCCTTGTTTATTTGTATGGTCATTGTTCTCATTTTCTCAATGTATTTGAACAATGGGATAATCTTATGCCCTTATTATCCGATAACTCAATTTCCATGTCTTCAACTCATGTATGTGTCAACAACAAACATTTAAACAAACTGCCACCAAATATTTCAAAATAATGATCTGTGAACATACCTGAAGCAGCAAATGGTAAATTCTTGTAATAAAATAGGATTTTATCCAGATAAACATTATACAACATTTCATTATAAAGTATTTATAGTTTAAAAATAAATTTAGGGAATGCAAAAAAATTAACCTTTTGGAATGAACTAGTGTTGCCTGCTCAAACAGACAAACAAAATTACATCAGATTAGCCCTACAAATATCATACATACACATATACTTGCTAGATTACTTGATTATTACTCATCTCCAAAACAATTGACTGCAGGTGGTAATTTTGAATTTGACTCCTTACAACATGGGATAAATCAATGACTTAAATTATGGCTTCCAACATTAACAACCTGAAAAGAAATATATATCATTATCATGACATAACTCAACATTTGAGAGAAATAGAAGGATTTCTTACATATAACATTCTCTCATGTCCTGATATCATTAACCGAGAAGAATCACAAGTAAATATAATGAACTGGGCAGAAGGTCTTCTTTAGCAAAATACACCTAGCAAGGGATTGCCTTCTGTTCTTTCAGACACACAATACACCTGGTGAATCTCTTCTTTAGCACCATCATCTCAACTGCAACTTCCATTTGCTTAATTTGCTCATGTAATTTTGAGAAAGTGTAGAAGGGTAAAATAGAAATACCTTCTGAGCGTTTCACATCATCTCAGCTGCACCATACTGTAAGAGCAGCTCAATCATCCAAATATCTGCAATTTCACAAGCAAGATGGAGGAGGGTGCACCCATGGAATTCCTCCATGCCAAATCCTTGCGCTTCACTTGTGCTTGCTGCGGCTGCCATTGATGAGATTGAGATTGAATCACTATAAAAAAGAGAAAGAACAACTGTTAGATTTGGTAAGCAGGGTAACATTGCCATTTACTTGATGGATATGAAAAGCATGAATAGTTACTTAAGGTGTTGCTTCTTTTTTTCGTAATGGATGAAAAAAAGTTCTCTTTTTATGGTTTTGCTCATCTAATCACAATTTATTTGGAAGGGTAAAATTGTCATTTAACATTTCATCACTAAAAGGCAAAACATCAAGATTCAAGATTTTGCTTACTGCAAGCAAGGTGGGGACATAATGTTCATCTGGGATGCAATTCTGCTGCTGTTGCTCTTTCTGCAATATAATAATAAGAAAGTAATATAAGAAATGGTAAATGTTATAAAGTAAAATAATAATGTGTAAGAAAGAAATAAAAAAAATAAAATAGTAATGTTTGTTAAAGATTGGGAAAACAACATGATCATATGCAACAACCTCTGCATGCCTCCTAAAAGTCTTTATAAAAACTTATATTAGAAAACTTTAACCAAAAATAACAATGTACTTATGCTTTTTACCGATACTGGATGTTTGCACTTTGCATATATCACTTTATTGAAAAAGTTTGATTACTATTGGTAAAAAAATTTCAAGATACAATGAAAAAGTAAGCTGTTATAATACACAAATATATGTAATTTTAAGGGGCATTATGGTCATTTTGGGGTTAAAAAGGGTATACTACAATTTCTTTCAATAAACCATGAGTTTACATTTAATAAAATATGGAATGATTGTTTTGGTCCTTTGCATGCCTTGTGGCACTTTAATATAAGTTGGAGCAGGAAGTTGAGGATTTGATATTTTGATTATATTTCATAAAAAAGATTGGTTAATCAGTTTATCAAAGATAGAAGATTTAATAAAAGGAACGACTATTTTGGACACTTTTGGGGAAAAAGTAAAAAAAAGAAAGAAGATGTTTTAGGCCGAGAAACTTCATAAGCAATTAACATTATTGGTTTCCTAAAAGCATCAGGTTGTTATAGGGGTGTTTGTATGAAGGGTATATATATATATATATATATATATATATATATATATATATATATATATATATATATATATATATATATATATATATATATATATATATATATATATATATATATATATATATTTGTCATTTTTTAGGAACAAAATATAGTAGATGTTTTTTTGGTTTTCTTCCTCTGTACCATCAAAATTGACGGCCTGCATTGGTTTTCTTTCTCTGTACCATTAAAAATTGACATCGTATGTTGTAAGAAAAGACTATCGTGCCCCCTATATCACTATCAACTACATGTTGATACACGAGATTCCCTTTGGTGGGAGAAGAGTGTGTGATGGATTCTTTTGCACATCTGAAAATATGTCGACTTCTTTGCCTCTTAATACAAATACATACCTGAATTTCATTACTGAAGGATTTTTGAGAGGTTATTATGTAAGTTCAATATGAACCTTCTACCTTTTCTTCTAAACCGGAGAGCAAGACTGAAATCTCTTATGAGTTCGGGTGACATTTATGGTGATTAAGCTGAACCGAAAGTGACTTCAGTTCTCCATGAAGGCTTGATTTTACGTCTTCTCGCCCTTTTCTCTGGTTATGGTAATTCAATTGAGTTAGAAAATATGACTCAAAGTAGTAAACCAATAAGAAGTTAACAAAATTATGGGAGAATATAAGGTATTCTCACAATTATCTGCAGGGAGTTGAAAATCATCTATAAAGAGTTGTCAATTTTGTAAGGAGTTGTCATGTGCAATCAATTTCTGAATGTAAACAAAATAGGGAGACATATGTCAAATATTAGTTACGATTATAGTACAAAAATTTAAATACACATTTTTTTTTCAAACATGACTTTTATTTTTATGAGATAGATGTACTTACTATTCATGGTTAATTCTTTTGATCTTATTGACATTTATTTCATCAGTCTGAAGAGATTCCAACACAACCCAAACCTGGTTAGTGAACTGTCTATTGTTTCTCTCCTATGTTCAAGTTCATCACTCATCTGACCTGCCCATTCATTTCAAAGCATCAAGAAAACCATAAAGCTCAAAGAAAAGTGTACACTTCAATACATCTTACATCTTTGCTCTAAAATAGAACCCCATTTACGGATTAGACCCGTGGAAGATCTTGATAATGGCATTTGAGTTTCTTCTGGGGATTGATTAACTGGGGGTAGGCATGAAAATATTTACATATAAGTCTCTCTTTTGTGAGAAACAACCAGCTACAAAGATTTTTAGATGCGGCAAAATAAGGAAACATTCATAAAAAAACATGTGAAAGTAGGTTAGGGAATACTTTAAGAACATAAATATTTGATAGCATACGGATTTCACTTTACCGAAGGGTTCTTCTCTTCAAACAGACACACAATAACATCAGATTCAGAAATCCATTTGCCAAAACTGCACCAGAAAACAAACAATGGTAACTACATTGCTATTTTAGATATTTTCCCATCAAATCTTTTTATTTCTTAGACATACATTGATGTTGACCAACAGGAAAATATGGAAACTACCATCTATAAAGTTGTTAATACTTTCTTTTCTCAAATTCAGAGTTTTATATGATATAAACATTGGTTTACATAAAACCTGATAAAATGTTTTAGGGTCTAGGAGGGATATTTCACTTAGGCATTCCATCAAACACTTTGTATGCATTATAAAATACATCAACTCCCACATCCTCATTAACTATTACCAGATAGAACCATCCAATCAAATGAAAAACTAATCTAAATAAACATTGTGATGGGTTTTGGTCATAAGACATCCTATGTGTTCATACAAACCCTAATGCTTGGATCTAGGTTTCTTTATTGTACATGCTTTGAATCCAAAACTATAAACCCTAATTCTAGTATATGAAATCGATATTAACATATGAATAGGTTTAAGAACATACCTTGATTGTTATAGAGTAATAACAATCCTAATTCCTCCTTGAATTGACTTTAGAATGCTTAGAGTCACAAGTATCACTCCTCTAATGGCTTACAAACACCAAGAGCAAATGGAGAAGGTATAAAGAGAGAGGAGAGAGGTTAGAATTCGTCCTTAGGACTTCTTGGGAAGGGATACACAAATTCATGTGCCAAGGGGTGTTTATATAGGTGTTCAGATAGGGTTTCAGTCATTATCCTTATCTAGATGCTTATCCACAAAGCAACCCATAAGATAATCTTTGAATCCTTATCATAGTCGAATTCTAAGGCCTTATCACCTCAAATTCGTTCACCATATATTTAAGATAATCCTTACCTTATTTTTTAACTATCACATAATTACAAAACAGCCCCTCTAGTTTAATTAATTACACTTGATCACAAAATTAATTCTTAATTAATTATTGACCAATATTAATTAAACAAATATGATTTCTCCTTTAATATATTATTCTTATAACATATTAATAAATCATAATAACCTCTCTCTCTATTTATTTCTCCAATCAAGTTGCTTTGGTGAAGGCAACCCAAAAGGACCATGCACCATCGGGTCAAGTACATACCAAAATAGTTATGGACTTAGACACTAATCCAACACATTGAACATGACAAAAAGGAAATACAAATGTAAAAGAAGCAGATCATTCATACCTTTGAGGTGAGTGGTGGCCTTTGAGTGCAAACCAGATAGATAGATAGAAATGGGGTGCCTCTGTGTGGTGAAAATTTAGTCTAGGGAGTAAATGAGTGTGTGCATGTGTAAGAGAGAGAGAGAGAGATAAAGAAAGAGAGAGAGAGAGAGAGAGAGAGAGAGAGAGAGAGAAAGAAAGAGAGAGAGAGAGAGAGAGAGAGAGAGAGAGAGAGAAAGAAAGAAAGAGAGAAAGAGAGAAGTGAAGGACAAGGGAAGGCATTGGGGGAACAAGGGAAGAGGCAAAGGACATATAATGGATTGTAGTTGACCTATAATAGGAAAATGGAGTTATCTTGACCAAAAATCACGATCCACTGGATGAATATGCTTCACCTTCGACATGCCATATGTTTTTTTTCTAACTTTTCATGCTCGTTCAATAGGTTTTGAAGAAGAAACAATCGTTTTGGGATATAGATGTTTTGATGGATGATGGATGCGGTGGGATACATGTTTTGAATCGATACCACAAGCCCTAATTTGAGAAGGCGGTCTGATCTTAGGGTTTCAAAGGGGACAAAGGTTCGTAGATAGGAGATGTAGGATTCCGAGTCGAAGTCAGGGATTAGGAATGAGGAAAGTGAAAGCACACAGAAAGTGTGTTTGTATGTGTTTTCCGATAAGGAGCAACAAAAAAATCAGTTATATTTCTCCTTTGTTCTCTCGGCTAGTTAGAGATATCGACATCAAAGACAGGATTCAGAGAGGAATTTACAGAAGGCACAGAGAGAGGGGTGAAATAAGATCTAATGGTCATTGAACTCTCGGAATCAAGCCCTGCGACTTCTGATCAACACAAGGAAGACTACGTTATTGAGAGGGAGGCTTGTGCGAGAAAAATCACAAAGAAGATCTGATAGTCGTTAAACCTGACCTAGGGCTTGTAAACTTGAGCATGTGTGGCGGTCTCCATCGAGGTAAGGTTAGCCCAAGCTTGCTGGCGAAAAGAGATAAGTCGAGATTGTTGGTAGATGAGGTGAGCCAAGGTAGCGAATGTTGCAGAGAGCACTCCCATCTTTAAAAGAACCCTAGAATGATCCCTTTGATTTTTTTGATAAAATAAATAGTCTGGAGGCGCGTTCAAGAATTATAAAGCGACATACTTACACGACACGCCTTTTATGATGGGTGCCCTCCATGTTTTTATTTTTATTTTAGTCTGACACAAATTTTAGGGCACGCAAAAATGCACATCCAAAATCCTTCAAATTTTTGTAGAGATAACGTTATTTTTACGTCACACACTTTTGCGTATTGTAAATTTGTGCACGTCATAAATTGCGCGTCATTAAAGGCCTTTTTTCTAGTAGTGTGTTTGAGTAAATTAACACTAAGGAAGTGGGTTCTAAACATGCAAAAGTGAAACATAGTAATAAATTAACAAAGTGATAGCATCACTGGCACTTTATTAAGTCTCCAAAAAATAAACATCAATTCAGTTACAAATTCATACTGCAACATGTTTCAAATATTATCAAACTAAACAATTAAAAAAACTACACCATAACATTTGTAAATCTAATGCATATAGCTCTAGTATGACTATCATGATTGATCCTTAATAATGGTTTCATGAACGGATCGCTAGATTCTCTTATGAAAATACTCTATTCACAATGATGTCTCCATCCTCGACTTAATGTCCCTCATAGTGGAACTTCCTAAGTATATGTCTTGAGTTCCCATGGTCCTTGGGTTCTTTAGTCAGTGCGACTGCACCCTCGTTGTCACAGAAGATTTCCGAAGGATCATTAATTCTCGAAACTCCACCAAGATCATCGATGAAGTTCTTCAACCATGTAGCTTCTTTTGTAGCTTCACTAGCCACTATATACTCTAACTCACACGTAGAGTCTGCCACTGTCGACTGCTTGGAAATTTTCCAAGTGCCCGTTCCTCCATTAAGCAATAACACCCATCCTAACTGCGAACATGAGTTATCCCTATCAGTTTGGAATCTCACATTTGTGTAACCTATAACTATTAATTCATTTTTACCCCATATACCAAGAACATGTCCTTTATTCTTCTTAGGTATTTCAAAATGTTGTTTACTGTTGTCCAATGAATGTTGCCTGGGTTGTCCTGAAAATGACTCACTATGCTCAGAGCAAATGAGATGTCAGGTCGAGTACATGTCATGGCATAAATGATCAATCCTATAGTAGAATCATATAGGACTCGACTCATTCTTTCGTGTTCATCACTAGAACTAGGACATTGAGTTTTACTCAATTTGATGCCATGTTGCATACATAGAAAACCTTTATTGGAGTCATGCATCTTAAACTTCTTCAAGATCTTATCCAAGTAAGTACTCTGGCTCATTCCTATTAGACGTTTCAATTTATCTCTATAGATCCTTATACCAAGTATGTACATAGCATCTCCTATATCCTCCATAGCAAAATAACTCCCAAGCCACATCTTAACACCTTGTAATGTCAGCATGTTGTTTCCTATAAGGAGTATGTCATCCACATACAACACTAGGCAGATTACAATATTACCACTAGCTTTGATATATGCGCAGGACTCGCCTTCACTTCTTGAAAATCCAAAATCTTTGACCTTTTCATGAAAACAAAGGTTCCAGCTTCAAGACACTTGTTTTAGTCCATATATGGATTTTTCAAGCTTACACACACTAGTTGGATATTTTGGATCTATGAAACCCTCTGGTTGTGCCATATACACTTCCTTTGCAAGCTTTACGTTAATGAAAGCATTTTTCACAACCATTTTCCATACCTCATAATCATGAAAAGCTGCTATGGCAAACAATATCCTAATAGATTTGATCTTGGCTACTGGTGAAAGGTTTCCTCATAATCAATCCCCTGAGTTTGAGTATAACCCTTTTCAACCAATCTAGCCTTGAAAATGTACACATTCCCACTCATGTCAGTATTCTTCTTGAAGATCCATTTGCACCCAAAATTTTTGGTGCTAGGTGTGTGATCAACCAAATTCCAAACTTAGTTATTGTACATGTACTAAATCTAGCTTTCCATGATTTCCTTCCACTTCGTAGGCTCAGGGCATGTCATCGCTTCCC